GGGAGAAGCAGGCTTCCCGCAGAGCAGGGAGCCTGACGCAGGGCTCGATCCCAGGACCCCGGGATTATGACCTGAGCTGAAGGCAGGTGCTTAATGACTTAGCCATCCAGGCGCCCCTCAATCAATCTTGAAATGAGAATCCCTAAGCCCTTTAGTGGAGGGTTTTGTTGGTTTTTTCCTTTCAATCTGGACGCTAAATTTCATTTAGCATCCCATATAATACAACTTTTTAAAAATCAAGACATCTTGAAACTACAACTATTTTCACTGTTGTACATTATCTTCTCGTTCTTAATGTACACACTTGGGTTTTAACAGAGCTGTAATCAGTAAGCAAACACTGCTTCTGTTCTGCTCTTGTCACTAAGATTACTACAAAACACATTTCCACACATTAAGAAAAGCCACGTTCAGCATTTTTCACAGAGCTGGAACAAATCTGTGAAATCCTAAAATCAGTTATGGACCCAGAAAAGACTCCAAATAGCCAAAGTAATGCTGAAAAAAAAACCAAAGCTGGAGGCTTCACAATTCCAGACTTCAAGCTGTATTACAAAGCTGTCATCATCAAGACAGTATGGTACTGACACAAAAACAGACACACAGATCAATGGAACAGAATAGAGAGCCCAGAAATGGACCCTCAACTCTATGGTCAACTAAACTTCGACAAAACAGGAAAGAGTATCCAATGGAAAAAAGACAGTTTCTTCAACAAGTGGTATTGGGAAAATTGGACAGCCACACGTAGAAGAATGAAACTGGACCACTTTCTTACACCATAAACAAAGATCGACTCAAAATGGATGAAAGACCTCAATGTGAGACAGGAATCCATCAAAATCCTAGAGGAGAATGTCGGCAGCAACCTCTTGGACCTTGGCCGTAGCAACTTCTTGCTAGACAGGTCTCTAAAGGCAAGAGAAACAAAAGCAAAAAATGAACAATTAGGACTGGAGGGTATTATGTTGAGTGAAATAAGTCAAACAGAGAAAGACATGTATCATATGATCTCACTGATAGAGGAATTCTTAATTGTAGGAAACAAACTGAGGGTTGCTGGAGTGGGGGGTGGGGTGGGAGGGATGGGGTGACTGGGTGATAGACACTGGGGAGGGTATGTGCTCT